CACAATGCAGCATGCACAATGCACAATGCAGCGTGCACAATGCACAGTGCAGCACGCACAATGGACAATGCACAGTGCACAATGCAGCATGCACAATGCAGGATGCAGGATGCAGGGGGGAGCGGAGCCATCTCTGTTGGGTCCGGCCCCGTTTCCGTGGCAACCGAGCGTCTCCGGCGGCGGCCCCGTGGCCCCAGCAGAGGGCGCCGCGCGTCCGTGGATGCGGCGCGTCCGTGCTGGGAGGAACGGGGAGGGGGGAGCGGGACTGGGGGCACTGGGAGCATTGGGGGCACCGGGAGAAGTGAGGGCAGCAGAGACACTGGGAGCAATGGGGAACTGGGAGCAATGGGGGGGTGGGGGCAGTGGGGACACTGGGATCGATGGGGCTCTGGGAGCAGTGGGAGCAATGGGAGCATTGGGAGCAGTGGGAGCAATGGGGCATTGGGAGCAGTGGGAGCAATGGGGCATTGGGAGCACAGAGGGCACTGGGAATACTGGGAGCAATGGGGCTCTGGGAGCAGTGGGGCCAATGGGAGAAGTGGGGACACTGGGGGTGTGGGTCTGTGGGACTGTGGGGCTGTCAGTGCAACACAACACAACACATTAGAACATAACAGAGTGCAACACACCTCAGCAGAGCACAACACATAGAACACAATGCAATGCAGAGCAATGCAGCGCAATGGAACACAACTCAGTGCAGCACAACTGAGTGCAACACAACAACAACACAACAAAACACAACTCAGTGCAACAGAACGCAATGCACACAGCACAGCAGGACTCTGCAACACAACACAACAGTAGAATACAACGCAGTGCAACAGATTGAAGTGTGACACAACACAAGACAACACGTAGAACACAGCACAACAGGAGACGATGCAAAGCAACACAAGACAACACAACTTGACACAACGCAATGGAACGCAATGCAGTGGGACGCAACACAGTGTGACACAGCGAAACGCAATGCCACACAACGAGGCAATGTGACACAACCAGGATGTGCTCAGCGTGGT